GCACTTCACCTCCAAGCTCCACGACGGGCTAGGCATGGCCCTGTTGCTCGAGCGGCATCGCTCTCCCCTGGACAGCGGCACCGAAGCTCGGCATTGCTCGCAGGCTGAGGACTCTCCATCCTTTGGGCTCTGGGATGGAGGGTGAGGGGAAAGGGAGGGCAGGGCAGTAGCTCACACACCTCCCAATCGTGACCTGAAATGCAACTGTCCCGATCAGGGGGATTGCATGATGCCGACAAAGTTTCATAGATGCACGCTGCCTATTGCTCTTGCCCCACAGCAGCCTTTGTGATGGAAAAGGAAAAGCAACCCCCAAGGTGGAAGGCGGTGGCAGGGCCTGCAAGGGGGAAGCCGAGCTCACGTGGTGGGAGTGCGTTTTGCATCCAGTGAACGTGCCGGGTATGGGTGCAGATGTGCTGGGCAGACTCCACGGGTCGCAGATGATCACGAGGGGGTGTTCATTCACCGCCTCTCCTTAGCAAAGGAGGAGCAACCACTGTCCACGGTAGCACCCCGGAAAGGCAGGGGCTAACCCACCTGTGCAGCACCCCACCGAGCAATGCATGCCCCAGCTCAATGTGGCACAGCCAACCCGGCCTTTTGCATTGCGTGGCCTGCTCGCCTTTCCAACCAGGGAACGGGCCATCTCCCTGGCATTCGGTGGCATTTGCAGATAATGAGACGGGAGGCTTTGACAAGGCCGGCGGGTGGCATTCACACAACGCCGGGCTCTTTTACGAGGTGCTCATGTGCATTCGGTTTTCTGCAGCACAGAAGTGAGGCATCCCTGGCGAGCTCAGCATGGATGTGGTGGTGTCACCAGGGACCGACGTCTGCCTGCAGCCCTGAAGTCAGACCCGGGTCTCCATCCTAACCACGGCTCTGCCGGCAACCATTAGTCTTCACCTGAGCCTGGCACATCCAACCCAAGCTCGGTCCAGGCCTGAATGCTGCTGCCTTTCCCAACAGCATTTCTTATGCCGAACAGTGCCGTGGCACGTGCAAACACGTGCACGATGCAGTCTTGGTGGAAACTCACCCACAACGCCAAAGATAAAAAGGCGAAGAGCTCAGACTACGCAGATGTGTCCATGACCGCTCCCTTCTTCCTACACAGACCCAGGGAGCTTTATATATTTGTTCCTTCCGTGTCACAGATCTCTTTCCGAATTTTCTTGGGAAAAGGGTGAATTGAGCCAAAGGGGGGCATCCTGAGATTCAAAGAAGTGAAAGCAAAACCAAAACACTTGGAGCTGCTGCGGTTAAAAAAAAAAGGGAGAACGGGAGATGAAAGGACATGGGTTTCTATTCCTGGCTCTTATACGGACTCCCTCAGTGGCACCGGCTTCATCATTTTCTCCCCCGTGCCTCAGTTTCCCCACCTGGAAAGGGAAGATGATGCTCGCCTGAGCTGTAATGATGCCATCAACTGGCTTTTCACTGGGATGGTTTGGGGAAACTGGGGGCTTCTGCTTGGGGAGAGGTAAAGCATGTGCTGGAGCATGGCAGGTCCGCATTAAGAGCAGCGATGCACGTGGGAAGCTGGCTAACCAAATCCCCCCACCCCTGCTATTTACCCATCGCAGCCAGGAGCAGAGCGACCCAGAAATGCAGGGCTCACCTTCCTCCAGCCCTCTCTGCTCAGAGCAAAGCGATGCCCACTCTGCAGACCCCACTCTGCCCCTGGGTGCAGACCCCTCGCCCTTTGCCCCTCGCAGCCAGGATGGCACAAAGGCCCGCAGGTGCAACGAATAAACATCGTGGCAGAAATCCATACAGAGACAAAATATAGATATCCCCCCGCCTCACCACCACCACCACCACCACCGCCGCCGCCGCTACACCCATGCAGACGCACGGCTAATCCCGGTGGATTTGGCCATCATATGACATGGCCAGTCAGTCCGAGGGAGGGGAGTGAAGGCACGCCTCTTCTTTCATGCCAGGAAAGGATTTTCATCTCTTGAGAGCACAATGAGGAGGGGGAAAAAAGCCAATCAAGCCGGGATCAGCTGTGGGCTGGGCTGCGGCAGATCTGCTTGCCCCAGAGGGGGGTGCGGGGAGACATCTTGGGCCGTGTGGGAAACCCACAGCCTCAGCTTCTCACACATTGTTCTTCTCTTCAGCTACCTCCCACCCCCCAACCAAAGCCGTTAATGCCACAAAAGATACTTTGCCCATTGTGTGGTAGACAGCTGAGAGGATAGAGTTAGCCTTACACAGCTTTCCTGACTCTCCCCCTCTCCCCCTCCGGACGGGAAGAGAAGCCGGAGCAATCAAAATGGAGAGTTTGATGCTTATCATACAAAAGAATTAAATCCACTTAGGCCCCTTTCGCGCTAATCTAGGACGGTGGGGGGTTAAATATGGTTACATTTTCATTAGGCACTAATAGCAAAAGGGCAGCTCATGGCAGCACGGACCGCGGCATTGTCATGCAGATGGCTCAGAAAAGGGTTACTCGGTGTTACGGCACCGGTCCTGGAGCTAGGGCATTCTCCGAGCGGGAAATGGTGTCACACGGCATTGTTGGCCAGTGAATTCCATCAATGGGAAAGTCATGTTTCCTCCGAGGAAAGGAAACAAGTTAAAATTGTCGGGGAGGGAAGAAGGTGGTTGGAAGGGAGGGAGGAGGGGAGGGCTGAGAGGGAGCAGCCGGGCCCGCGTCCGGGATGCATGCCCGATTTCACCTGAACCTGCATCATGGCACGCTAAGGGCTATTTGAAGGTGCAAAATGAGCTACTGGGTGGTGCAAAAGTGTGCGTGCATGCGCATGGGGTTGGAGAAGGCCGGTTGTGGATATCCTGAGCAGCGTGCATGCATCTTTGCAGTTCATGCGAAGGATGCCTGCATATTGCTGTTGGCATGAACGCTGAAATCTTCGTTTTCGGCGCGGCCTCTCTCCCTGCTCTTGCAGCATCAGCCGCCGAGGGGAACCCTCCGTGCTTCGAGCGCCTTTTAAACCCCAGGTGCAGCCCTGTGTGAGGCACCCAGAGGTGAAAGCAACCACAGCTTGCAGGGTTGCCACCCACCGGCTCGGATCTTGCTCGAGGCAGACAGCCATCGAAAAAGCCCCTGCTTTTCATTCTGAAACAAACATTTTGATGAACCCCTCCGCCTCCCTGCCTTTGAGTTTCGCTAGTCCACTGAGCTTGAAACTCCAGATTCATAAGAGAAGTGAGGGGAAGAATTAGCCCCGCTCTGTTAATTGACTCCTCGCAGTTTTGCTGGGTCCCTGCTTTCACCCTCTCCTGACCCACCCACAGATAGG